CTTTTGACACTTCTGCTTTGTTTGACGTTTCTTCATGAGAACAAAAAAAAAAAAGAGCGCTATGTAAGTAAATGAAACATGGTATTTTAATTTTAATGATTTATTATCGGCATTAACTCTTTTCAGGTGGTCCAGGGATAGCTACTGTGGTATTTAGGCAAACGCCCAACGTGGGGAACACCTATACCCTGACAAGAGAACACTGACGCCAGTTGTTTCTTCCGCCTGAGCTCCGAAGCATACGACATCACATCTCGCAATTTTTTCGGCAGACTCTCATGTACTAATATTGACCCATAGCCCGACAACTCAACATCAGAGAGCGCAAGCGATCTCTTTTTGGATCTGCAGAAGACCGCAATGGATTTCATGAGCTGATTTCGATCGTGTGAAGAGAACAACTTTACAACAATGGGACAGTTGTCTCTGCTTTTTTGCCCATAACTTTTTACGCTTTTTAGTCGAAAAGCATCTCGCACAGGCGGGGGTTTATGCTGAGTTGCACCGCAAATCTTTGCAAAAAGTTCAGGCAAACACTCACTGGCTGCCTGAGGAATCCCGTTGACTAATATGTCAGTGGAGACTGCGCTGCTTTCGAGAGCGCTGAGCTGAGTCTGAACAGCAGCCAGTTCATTACGAAGATGGAGAACTTCAGTGCGTGTGCTCTCAACTGCAGCCACACGTTTGTCAATAGCTGCAATCGATAGCTTTAAATTTGCCGTATCGGCGGCCAGCTCACTGATCTTCTCCATTACTCTCCCTTCTGATCTCATCATCATGTGTTAGTAAGATAAATGCGAATGTGTTAGTTTCCATCACACAATTCTTGTATGGTGCTTTTATCAACTTTTTAAGAGCAATATGCAAAACGTGATGTAAACATTTGTGTACATGTGATCTTCCGTCTTCCTCCGACTTATGGCCTTATTTAGTGGTCTCTTTTTAACCAACGCAAAATTTGCAAATGTGTTAGTAAGATAAATGAGAATGTGTTAGTTTCCATCACACCCCTGCAGAAAAAAATTATCAATTGATAAAAAATAACCCGCTTGTAGTTAGCTTTTTTGCGGGATTTCTATAAAATATATAACTAGTTGACAAGTAATGCAGGAAACGCGTTTCTATTTAAAATCCTGCACTTCGCAAATACTTTTTCGACTTGAGGATAAATAAAACGAAGATCGAAATTTCATATCATGATTTTGAAGTTATGCCTGACGGAGTTCGAATATGGGACCACCTACAGCAGAATATGGAAAAAAATATGAAATGTAATAAAATAAAGTAAATAAAAATAAAGAAATTAAAAAAATATATATATTTTGTTTTTCCTATTGATATTTTATGTCCAAAAGTAGTTACTTACAAGTTAGTTACATCAAATGCAGAGGTAACCACCCTTGACTACATCTAATGCCCACGACAGCCGGTTCTACGTACCGGAATGACTCGGGTTTTACCCGACCAAGGGCTGTTGTTTCGGCGATCTAACCCCGTTTAGGTCGGCGAAGTATCTCAGAAGTTGTCCGTCCATAGGGCTACATTCACTACGTATTCTTCTACTCAGGGCTGGCATCGAGTCAAACCCAGGGCCAGAAACCTACACCTGCTGTGTATGCCGGAGACGATTACACCACAACTCCACCTCAGTCAAGTGTAATGCCTGCGAGGGGTGGAGTCACCTCAGAGTCTGCTCGGGACTACGGACACATAGACAGTGGACCACGTCGTAC